CAGGAACTAGGAATCTGAGTTTCCTTTTTTGACTTTAAAAATTCCCCTGCTTGACCTGCCCAAGGTCACGGAGAAAAACCACGGCAGAGTAGGGTCATAAACATAGGTTTCCCAAGTCCTTTGCTAACAATCTGAGCCAGCTTTCCTCACTGGATCCCCATGCACAGGTGAGACAAACCTTTTCCACATGCAGAGCCAGCTTCACACCATTGTGTAGCCAGGACAGGGCCACAACAGGGTCTCCTTCCACCATACTGCCCACAGTGTTCTCCCAGCTGTTGGCCAAGTGATCAGTCATGCTCCAGCATTTAATGTGTCCATCTGCATCTGCCGAGAGGAGCCTGGAGCCTACAGTAAAACAGCCTCGTTAGAACCAGTGGGTACAGAAAAAAAATCACTAGGAATCAAGAAATCAAAATATCCCAGTGCAGATTTACCAGAGTCAAACAATTAATGGCTATGAAACGATGGGTGCAGTACAACCCCTAACGGCACATGCAGTCAAAACAGAAAGACTCACAAAATCCCTTTCTACAAGCTATCACGCACCATCATTTTATGACCTGTGTGCGCATGAAGGAAGGGTGGAACAAAGGGATAATGAGAAAGGATCCAAACTCACCTGACTGATCCCATTCCAAACAAGTGATGATTTCAACGTGGCCAGAGTTAACAGAATAGACATCCCATGGATGCTCCGTGTCAATGATGTGGACCATGTGGGTGAGATCTGCATGAAGAGAGAAATGAGTCACTGTGCCTCGTTACTAACTCCTTAGCAAGTGTTTCTCAACCCACAGATCCTGAGCTGATGCAGGGGGAGCCACAGACTATTTTCTGTCAAACAATTATGGGAAGGACAATAACTGCGCTTGGCAGCTCAGGTGAGATAACCGGTAATAGTGCAGAACTCGCCCTGGTTCCGCAGAGCCTGACAACCACTCACCAGTGAATGAAACACTCATTAAATCTCAGGAATGTTAGAAAAAGGAAGAAGTATAAGTTTCCATGTTACTGAGCAACCTTTCGCAAGCACGCTGTACCTTTTTCCTCCTCATTTTTGAGGTCTGTGGTGAAAGCGATCAGGTTTCTGCAGGACCAAGCACACACTAAGGGGATGGAAGGACAGTGGTTGCTTTTCGGCCTCTTCTCCCACTCACAGACATATGCCAAATCCATTGCGCCTCGGGTAACCCCCAGAGGCCCTGCTGGCCCATGGGAAGCAGACACACAGCTTTCGGTGCCTACAGAAAGCGGAAAAAGGTGCCTTTTAGATGCAAAAAACCCAGCCAGTTCTACAAGTCACAGACACAGGCCCAGTTAAACCAGCTCCCCCAGCGAAACCT